CGTCTTTCTCTAGTGCCTTCTAAGGGCACCTATCCTTGACAGTATCTGGAGCTTCGACTTATATCCTCTAGAAGTATGATACAACAGATTCCACAAAGTCATACAGATTTCAGTGGCCTTAAAAGGTACCTAGCAAACTAATACTGATGCTTCTTATGAACGCTAGATTTACTTTTCATTTTTAGTAGTTACATTATATCAAAATTCAAGGTCTAATCATATGGTATGTATTGGTTTGTAATCTTAATTATATTGTTTATATTATATTATTATGTGCAATTTTATATTGCATTTGAGGCACTCTTAATTTTTTCTGTACAAGTATCATAGGACAAAAATATCAAAATAGTATTAAAATATGTCTACCTTTAGTAGACATAAATTTTGAATTTATATCAAATAACCTCACCCTTCCATTATACAAAACAAAAAAGATAAACTCTAACCTCAGCCCTTCGAGACTATTGTCTAAGAAACCTTTCCACGTCTAGTGGTTTCTTTAGAAATGTACAAAATACAGATTCAGCAAATGAGACATAAGAATTCTCAGGGGTTTCTGAGGAAAGTTTTCTTGTTCTCAAAAAAGGGACATGAAAGAGAAAGTCCCTTCTTCTGCCTTCCCTCTTGCAGCTTATGCCATTTGGACCACATGACAGTGAGACTTTCAGAAAAATCAATCACTCTGATGGAAGAGTAGAAATGAGCAGCTGGGCTCCAGGTAAAGCTGTGGTGCTGTACTGAGGATCAACAAGTCTCTGGATTCCTTCTGTGTAATGACAGATTTTCTTATTGAATGAAAAGTAAAAAATAAAAAGGAAAGGAAAGGACATGACTGCTCTTAGTAGGAAGTTTATTGTAGATAAAAGGGAGAACATAGGTAGAGGCAGGGACAGGGACATCAGGACATAGACATGGACAGGACATAACCAGACTGAGTTGGGCCATGTAGGAGGAGAGGGGAACCAGGTGCAGCAGCCAGGAAGCCAAAGATCCTAACACAGGGATAGGTAAGCAAGATGTCTGGATTATATAGGGAAGAGCCTCTTGGAGAAGGGCAGTTCAACCCCTGGGCTGGAAAGTTCAGGGTAGGGGGTCTTGGTATGCCAGCCATACCCTGTAACAGGTAGGGACTGAGGGATGCTGGGAGAACCTGGCAGCCAGAACTGATTTGATATGTTAAATAGGCACCTCAACTGTTTGTCCTGGGTTTGAAACTTAACACTTACCTTTTAAATTATTTTGGTTCAGGGGCTTTGGATTTTGTTGTCCAAAGCAGCTGAACTAGTAGGTAGCTATTCTTTCCTGATAAACCCCTTTTAAAATTGGATGAATCTTCTTGCTAATATCAGAGCTCTCCAAGAGTTATTTTGAATTATTCTGCTTTTATAAATATTTTAAAATTTTATATAACTTCAAACATCACCAGTTAATGTAGTTTGTGTGCAGCCAGTGGGTTACAGGAGCAATGAGATACCAGACCTTAGAGTGGCAGGTAATCCCACAATGGCCATTCTTTTTTTTTTTTTTTTTTTGTTTGTTTGTTTAGGAAGCAGCAGCTTTCATTTATTTCAATATTGTGAAACAAATAATGGTTTAAAATGTGTGCAAATTTGACATGAATATAAATTATCATTTATGGATATGCACTCTTACAGACTGCAGTCATTGACACTAACTCCCTTGTGTGATGCATGGCACATACTAAAACCCATGACATTTGAATTTTTCAGCTGAAATAAAAATGTTTTCCATTTAAATATACTATTCCAATGTAAAATAAAGAAGAATCAACAATTTAGATTATGATAGATATGGTAATTTTTAAAAATCAAAATCGAGTACCTGATCTACTATGGATCAGCCAATCCACACCTCATATTAAGTGAGAGAATGAGAGATGAGAGTAGGTAGATTATTTACACAGAGTCCTGGGAAAGGCAGAGACTTATTAACTATGAATGACTGGCCTTAGCTTAGGCCCATACTACTAGCTCTTTTAACATAATTTTACCTGTTTCTATTCATCTACATTTTGCCCCAGGGCTTTTTATCTTTCTTTGATACTGTATGTCCTACTTTTCTGCTTCCTCTGTGTCTGTCTGGCCCCTGGAGTATCCTTGGAATCTCTTTTCTTTCTTCCCTTGAGCCTAAAGTCCTCCTCCTACTTACTCTCCCTGTGCAGAAGTCTGCCTATACCTCCCTTGCTATTGGCCATTCAGCTGTTTATTAGACCAATTAGGTGCCTTAGGCAGGCAAGGTAAAACAGCAATGTGGTGGTATTGTGTTCTCCAAAATATTGTGCACCCTAATAAACTTATCTGGGGTCAGGGCACAGAACAGCCACTAAATATAGAGGCTAGAAAATGGTGGCATTCACACCTTTAATCCTAGCATTCCAGAGGCAGAAATCCCTCTGGATGTCTGTGAGTTCAAGGCCACATTGGAAATAGACAGGTATGGTGACTCACGCCTTTAATCCCAGAAAGTGAGCCTTTAATCCCAAGAAGTGATGGCAGAAAGCAGAAAGATATATACGGCATGAGGACCAGAAACTAGAAGCTTTTGCCTGGTTAAGCATTCAGGCTTTCAAGCAGCAGTTCAGCTGAGATTCATTCTGGATGAGGACTCAGAGGCATCCAGTCTAAGGAAATAAGATCAGCCGAGGAATTGGCAAGGTGAGGTAGCTGTGGCTTGTTCTGCTTCTCTGATCTTCCAGCATTCACCCCAATAACTGGCCTCAAGTTTGATTTAATTAATAAGAACTTTTTAAGATTCCTGTTACACAGCAACACCTTTACACAGTTAAACAAATATTCCACAACACCATTTAACTATAGATGGTAGGATATTTCTTTTTGAGTGATATTCATTGTGGGTGTGAATGTAACAATTCAACCATTGTTGGGTATCTAGTTCAATTCCTTATCTTAGCAAAAAAGCATAGGTGTTAAGATACCTCTTTGAAAAACAGAATTTCCTTTGGATATACATCTAGAAACAGTACAGCCAGATCCTAGTATAGATCTATTTATAGTATTCTGGGGATGCTCTCTATTATTTTCCATAATGGCTGTAATAATTTATGCTCCCATTTTTTGTTTCTTTATAAACAAATGTTAGTTATCCAGGGTGCTAATATTTTTCACTTCAAGCTATTAATATTTGTTCTGTGTTATAATTTAAATGTTAAATAGTATGCAGTAATGACTCTGAAAATTGTAAGATGAATTTATTAGATAATGTCACTCTGCCTCCTCTGATAATGAATAGTAACTTTTAATAACCTCAAGTGTTAGACCCTTAAAATAAAAAAAGTGAATCTGTGTGGCAGAAAGAAAACATTAAAGATAGAAACATAATAAACTGCAAGAGCAAAAACCTGTAATCACTTTCCCTCAAAAAGACTTTACAAAGTCAAATATAAAACAGTATTTGACAGAACAAAATTTGATATTAGCCCTATAAGGCTAGGCAGGATTCTGAAATATGTTGGTTTTATTTACTGTTTGCCTGCAAAACAAAGTCCTAAGGCTAAATGGTCCTCAGTGTCTTTGCTTGTATTCCTGAATAGAAGAGATTATATGCAAGAGATGTAAAGAGATAGCCCCCTTGTCAAGGAAATCTCTTGGTTCCCTCAAATTTATGAATGCAAATTGTGAAATACTTTACCACAAAGTCTTCAGAGCCAGAAAAATTTAAAACAAAACCCAAGATAATGTGATTCACACTTAAAAGCATGATAGACTATAGCCTACAGGTGAGGTAAGGTGATTTAACAAGCTGTGGAGTTTTAAATATCTCTGCTACTGAGTGCTCTGGCAACAAAAATAACACCAAAGGAACATAAAATGACCTAATAGGGAGGAGTTTCTTATTTAAGCAATACCAAGGTGAACCAGGCTCATTTCAACAAAATCCATGAATACAAGAGTTCCTATGGTTCACTTTCTGTTTTTGGTTCTGAATTACTCTGAGATGGGGACCAGCCTAAGGGCTCGGCCTATCTTCCACACAGTGAAAAGACCAAAGCAGTACTGAGATATGACGTGATGAACATTTTCTCTATATTGACCACATACGAAACCATTGGAGACATTCACTATAAAGACATTTACTGGAAAGGTTTCAGTATGGGCAGTAAATTAGAACTCTAAACACTATATTGTAGTTATTTAAAATATTTAGGAATTAGGACACAGCCCTAAAAAAGGCAAAAGGCTGCCCCAAAGAATTTGCATTCTTAAGAGGATGGCTGATAAACAATTAGCTTTTGACAGCTTTGAGTGCTCTGAAAAAAACCTGCAGGAGAAATCTTTATAGAGTCTACTGTGCTTGCTGCTATTTTAGGTGTGTGGCCAGAGGATTCTCAGCAGGGGTGACATTTGAGCTAAGAAAACGACAGGAAGAAGTAAACAAACAAAACACCAAGCTGCAGAACAGTTTTGCAAGGATCTTTCATAAAGGAATGGTTAACAATGCTGAATGAAACTTGGCACCTTCTGGGAATCTCATGAAGGCCTCAGGGTCCAGCAAATTACGGGCATGTTGATGTCGCCCCAGAATTAGGTAAGGAGTTTAGGGGTTACTCCAAGTACAGTTGGTATTCATAGGACGTTGTAAATCAGGAGTGGGGAGTAGGGAGTATTGACGTCTTAAAAATATCGTACTTCGGTTTTACTTCTTAGAACGTAATTCGAATTTCCTCATGGGTTGAACAACATCACTGCCTCCTCTCTTTTGCCCAGGATATTTGTGCAAGCCCAGGTTTGTTTGCACCAGACGCCAGGGTTGACAGCCTGGGAGGAGTGTGTGACAGTTGGCCAGCGCTGTGAGGCCCAGGCCAAGCCAAGTCGCCTCAGGGGCCAAGGCTATGCGGTGGGGGGGAGAGGAGGCGGCGGAGCAGAGGAGCTGTGGCTGCTGCTGCTGGGAGGGATAGAGGCCTCACCTCGGGGTACTGGTGCCCGGCAGTCGGAGAGGGAAGAGCAAACACCCTTGAGATCCTTTCGGGGGCTCTTGGGCCACACAGTCTCTAGGGGTCTCCCAGGCTGGTGGGGGCTGCCCCGATTTGTCACCGGAAACAATGGGGATTCGGGGCCCGAGGCAATGGCGCAAGTCCTGGGGGAGGGGAAATTTAGCTTCCTCTGGTTTAGCCCTGCAGGGCCAAGCCGCGAGCCCTGGTGGCTGAGAGCAAGGGACTCGCAAGTGTCGAGTTAGGACGGGACCGGGCTGGCGGGCCTCGGCCCACAATCTCTTCGCGGACGGTCCGTTCTCCTGTATCCCGCGCCGGGTTTTGTGATCTGCTCTCATCTCTAGGCCAGGCCCCAAGCAAAGAGCAAAGAACTGGCCGGGGCCCCTCCCTCCCTCGGATCAGGGGTTTTGTAGCTGCAGCAGCAGCCAGGCGCTCAGCTTCTAGAAGGAAGTCTTGCCGACAAGCGCCGCAGGGCTCCCTCCAGGGGTGAGGAAGAGCTCTGTCCCGGGGTCTAGCTCACCACAGAGACCGACGATCCCTGGCCCTGCCCTGCTTTCAGATCGCGAATTTAGCGACAGCCCCTTCGCTACCCACCGGCCGCGTTTCCGGGCTCAGTGCTGGGGTTGCGGCACCCGGAACACAGACGAACGCAGTAGGTGCACTAGTTGTTGGAACCCGGGTACAGCTCTGCGGCACTGAGAGCTCCGCGGCCCCAAGTATGCCGCTGGGGGCGGGGCTTGCAGAGGCCCCGCCCCAGCCCTGCACGGCCCTCCCTCGCCTCTTGGCCGAGTAGGCCAGGGGTTGAGCTGCGCTCTGAGTCCACGCCTCAGTGGGTCCTTTTTGCAGCAGTTGCGAAAACCCGGAACGAAGGTGTTGTTGCCGCTCGATAGAGCGGCGCCGCCCCTCGCCGCACCTCCCCGCCAGTCCTCAGAGGCCTCGCTGGGCATGCTCAGTCGGCAGGGCCGCTTCAGCTCTCGTAGTAGGAAGCTTGGGGCGCTTGGCTTGTGAGGACCCACGGCGGGGCGAAGATGGAGCCCTTTACCAATGGTGAGTGGCTAGCCTGAGACTCGGATTCCTGGGCTTTCAGGGTCCAGAGGGTCAATTGTGGCACGGGGATCGGGCTGCCGGGTGTCCCCGCCCCAGGGGTTTCCCAGGAGAGCTGGGGGCGGCAGAGGGGCCAGGGCCGGCTTAGGGCGGGCGTGAAGGTCAGCCGGCTCCCGGGGGCTAGTACCGAGCCTCCAGGTGAGGCAGTGGCAAAGTTTGGGATGTTTGTGCGGAGGAGGGGGCGGCGGCAAAGTTGGCAACCGCGTTTGTCCCCGGAGAGGCGGCCACTGCCCGGAGAAGCGGCGCCCGGGAGGAAGCCAACTCGCGATGGGAGCCTGGAGCTGTCCGCCTGTCCTTCGGCTAGCTGCTCTCACTCCTTTCCGTAATAGGGCGGGGTAGGGCCGCGGGGCTGGCAGCGTGATTTAGTGCACCGCAGGGAAGAAAACTTACCAGAGGCTGCCCGGTACTGCTCCGTGTGGCGAAGGTACCGCCCTGTATAGCCACCTTTCTCTCTGCTGCTGCTGAAGCACTCCGTCGGACGACCAAGCTTTTTACCAGCTGGGAATATTGGTCTCCTAGTCGGAGATCCATTGAATATTAGTGCTTATATCATTAGGTGACAGGGGGTGAAAGTCAAAGCAGCCTATGTCCAGAAAACAGCCACAGACTCACTCCACAGCTTTGTCTGGTCCAGAAGTGCTGGAGTCACAATATAGGGGTGAGATGTCCCACCATTTTATGATGTTAAATATGTGAATTTACTATTAGGATGTAAAGTAGGAAAACTGTTAATAAACGACAGGACATACTGAAATTAGAGGACCCACTTTGCAGTTGTCATGTATTTCCAGTGTGGTTGGTTACTTCAGGTAGGTGGAAAATCAAATTAATAGGAGAGAAGTGTATTACTTGGGTGGGTTGCTTGCCGCTTAAGGGACTGGGGGGGGGGCGTTGCCCACTCTGTCCACTTTCCTGCCCGACTTTGTTGTGTATTTCATTCCTGGGGCTGTGACCTACTCATGTTCTCCATTTCCCTAATTCAGAATGTTTTATTTTACTGCCATCTTTCTGTCTGCAATGTTTACTTAGGTTTAGTAATGACAGCTTTAACTCTGAATTTTCTATCTCATTTGTGTTCTATATGTAATTACCAAGGCTCCAAGAATAGTATGGTAAAATTACCGAGAGAATTAAGCAAGATTTGAACTGAAAGGCACCATAAAGACCATCTAGTACTTGAATGCTTAAAACAGGTTTTAGGTCCTTGCAAATCGATATTCTAAGGCTTTTTCTTTCTTCTAGGCAGGATTCTCAGATCCCCCTTGTTTGTAGGATTTTAAATATGAAATTTCACCCAAGAGAAAACAATGTCTACACAAGAATGAATCAGGTTTCGGGCTGGTTGATTTACTGAACCTTCCCCTACAGAATTAAAGTACATTCTCACACCTTAAGTAAAAATCTTTTCCCCTCCCATAGAATATCAGCCTTTAGAAGTATTTGTAAATTGTCTCATTTGGGAGGACAGTGTAAAAATCCTAGAGAACAAAATAAAGAGGCAAAGGTTCTACTTTCATATAGGAAGTTGGATTCAAATTCTTTTCTGTCTACCAGATTTTCACAGTTGGTGCTGGAGACTAGTTGGAAGTGTGTCATTTGAGCTCAGCTTCTTACTTGTCCCCTTTTCACAAGGAAAATAGGAACAACATTAAAGTCAATAACACCTTGGATACTACTAATTTTAGGTGCTTTGAAGGTTTTAAGGTGAAATAAGTATTTCAAAACTTTTGAAAGTTTTTGCTGTACAATTTTCTAGTGTCTTCAAATATAATATTATATAATGGAAACTGTATTTTTGTATCTAGTTACATAGCATGCACGTGTAATTCTATAGCTAGTCCTTTACAGACTATTTTATCATCTTAGAATGTGTGATTGAAGGATTGATTTATCAAGCTTAATACTGGTTTTTGTTATACATTGATTCTCTTTTAGTAAATCTCATTTACATGTTCTTGTATGTCTGCATAAAGAGATATGTACGGGTGTGCAATAAGAACAATTTCAAGGCCGGGCGGTGGTGGCGCACGCCTTTAATCCCAGCACTTGGGAGGCAGAGCCAGGCGGATCTCTATGAGTTCGAGGCCAGCCTGGGCTACCAAGTGAGTTCCAGGAAAGGCGCAAAGCTACATAGAGAAACCCTGTCTCGAAAAACCAAAAAAAAAAAAAAAGAACAATTTCAGTAACTCTGGATGCAGGTTTGTTTTTTTTAAAAAATACTAATAGTTCAATGACCTATAAGTTTATAAGATAAATGAATTTTGTCTTGTCATTTCAGCCTTTAGTACTCATTGATTTCTGTGGTGTTTTCTGTAGTTTCCCTATTTTCTGTGAAATGTGCTGTTGGTGTGGTTCATCTTCTTGAGCCTGGCTCTCTGCCCACAGTAATGTAATGGGTTCGTGTGTTAAATATCTTATGTTCAGCTGTCCAGTTAATAACTCCTGGAACCCATTTAAAATTCATGTTTCTAGAAAAGGCCTATAAGGATGTACTTCAGTACCAGGAATTCCTATTTGACTCAGGAAATATTTTTGGCCTTGACCTTGAGAGGAACTGTTACCACATTTAAGACCAGTCTGGCTTTGGTTCTCTGGAGACTTATGGGTAGAGGAATGTGTTGACTAATATTTAGGATTGGTTTGACAGTAGCTGCCTTGTCCTGCCTTGTCCTATTTGGAATCCTTTAGGAGTAGTGACCTGACTCTTTACCAGCACCGCAGAAAGTTGATGGAAACTATCTAGGTTTTCTGAGATGGATACTAGATTAAGACAGCTAATTATTTGATGTCCATATGCCTCTGTTCTCATTTGTTTGGGATATTTCATAATAACTTAAATTTGTGTTAAGACATGCTAAAAGTCGGGGCTCAATTGCAAAATCTGGTTGAGAGGTCCAGGGTCTGATCTGGAAATCTCTGACTGCATTTTGAAGCTACTAGAAGTATTCAGTTAAAGAGAGCTTGGGGATGTTTATCAGGTAAACAAATACAGACTTTACAAACATAGGGATGGATTAATTTTCTTTACTATTTAGTATATGTTTTGCTAACAGATTCTTGTTTGTGGTGTGATTATAAGTAAATCTAGTGGTTAGAAAATCACTGATATATTGAAGTGCCATAACAAAAAGCTTAGTAGAGGTTGTCATTTTTATATGAATTATATCACCTCCACACAAATCATTTTATTACTGTACACTGAGGCATAATCAAACAAGGGAGAGACCTCCTGTCTTTCAGAATTATGTCTGTTTATTTTTAGGTTGGTTTCCAATTGAAAGTGTTTCAGTTTTTAAAATGTAAAGTCTTGACAACAAATTATCAATGTATGAGTTGTAAAGCAGTATAAAATTGTGATGCCATCTTTTTATCCTGTAAATAACAGTTGTTTTATGGATATGTGCATCTTTCTAAAAATAAGTTTATAGTATCATCTTAAAAATGAGAGCTTACCATATATGTACATTTACATATATGCCCATACATATCTTTTGTTCTGTGTTGAATTTAAAGAAATCTTTAATTAAAGTTTTTCTGTAATGGGATAGAATTAAATTGTGTGTGTGTTTTCCCTTTCTGCCTTATCTTAAATTACAGTTGGGGAAATCTGATATAAAAATTGAGGGTTAGCCAGGAGTAATGGCCCATGCCTTTAATTAATCCCAGCACTCAGGGAGACAAAGGCAGAGGGACCTCTATGAGTTCTGGGCCAGCCTGGTTGACATAGTAAGCTCCAGGAAGCCAGGGCTATGAAGTGAGACTTTGCCCAAAAAAACAACACAACAAAATTCAAGGGCCATCTAGCATCATAAAAAGTAGGTAAAAAAGATAGCTAGAAAGTAATCCAGTTTAAACTAGGAAGCAATGTTAGAAAAATTCTTTGTTATTATGTATTCATTTTCAAAAGAGTCTTAAGACAGAACCAGGTACAGCATATTTTAGAAACTGTTACAGCAATGACTGTCATTTATCTGTATGTGATCTTTGAGAACTCAGTCTGAAAGAGATAGAACCAGAAAGAAAAGGGATTATCATATGGAAAATCCAGTGGTAATTTCATGCTCAGTAATTCAGTCATACAGTCATACTTTTAAATTCTTACTTTAGAGGTAGATTTTCTGCTATGTTTCACAAACATATCATCAGATGATGCTAGCCCAAATAAGAAATGGATTGAAATAATTTAATTTTGTTTTCGTGCTAGTATAAAAATGTATAAATATAGAAAAAGGAAAGCATTGCAACTTGGCCTAAGATAATATTCTAATTGTGACAGAGATGTTCTTTGTTTTCTAACCTGTTCATAGAATGTTGGTTACTAACAAGGTTACATTTCACTAATGTCACATATCATCTCTATTAGAAAACAGCATTTTTATCTTCTCCAAAACTTAACCAAGATTACCCTGGACTTTGGAATAAAGCCAGATTAGGAAGGTGGTTCCTGGCAGTTAAGCTGTGTGTGATGCAGCTGTGTTCAGTCAGTTACTTGGTGTCTGGAAAACTGTATGGGGTTGAAGTTGAGCTCCTGATGCTAAGCTTTTGGTAAGGACTTGATGATCCCCCCACCTGACCCCCCACCCCAGATATCCTTTCTGTTAATGGAAAACCAGGAATAGGAATGGTGGGAAATTTTGGAGCCTTTCTAATGTCGTAACTTTTTATATCTAGTGACTTTTACAGAGAATGTTACTTGTTGCTCTAGTGTGGAGCACTGAAAGTAACAACAGGAAGAACAGAGCTGTTGTGTCCATGGAAGGGTCATCCTCAAGGAATGAGGTGCAGGCAGGAAACAGAAAATATTTGCTAGGAATTTAGCTGTACTACCTTCTTTTCTTCTAGTTAGAAAAATTCAGTCACTTTAAGGTATGACTATTTACTGTCCAGAATATTCTGGATTTGAAGAAAATAAAATATAGACAAGACTGTAGTCATCCTTTTGT